TCTTGATATTTGTTCATGTTCTTTTAATAAAACGAAGTTGGCGTAGACACAGTTATTTTTTTAATTTCTCTAAATGACTTTTAAGTTATTAAAATTGTGATATTTATATTACTGCATATCATGAATTGTCTATCAAACTAGCTACCTATCTTATCAAAAGCGAATTATATAGTAAATATATGGCAAACACGCAAGTGTAAACGAGCCTTACCAAATTCACTACTATTTTATCAACAAGAACCCCGAGTTTACGCAGTTATGCGTCTATCTAGTTGATAATATCGCTGACCGTGTGTGCCGAAAAAATGTCTTTGATAACGCCTGATCAACGCGTGGATCTTGGGGTTGTCGTGACTGAGCTTGCTTCGCACTTATAAAACGACTTTACCCTCGGATACTTGCTCAGTGTCACTTGCGCTGTTTTCAATTTTTTTCATTTCTTTACACCAATGGCTTGTAATTTCAAATAGTGATATTGATATGTCAGTGACACTGCCGACACAAGCGCTTTCTCTTTTTGTCTAATTTCATTTGTTGTTTTATCACTTTTGGACATTACTACTTGGGTTATTCAATTTAGGGTACGATGATGTAACAAAAAAGGGAGTAAAAAGTTTGACTTACCGTTACATTGTTCTCGGTAATAATCTCTTTATAGGCAAAATCACAGACGACAAAAGCCAATAGATATGTTGGCATTACTACCGTCTTTTCAAAATAGTCGTATCTTTTGTTGTCTTTTACTTCGGTCTTGTTTATAGGCATGCAAGAAAGAGCTATGAAGTCAGGACGATGGACTAGCACCACTGAAAAGGTCGCCTTCAGCGCTGGTTCATCAAAGCACGGAAAAGCCATTCGTGCATCGGTTGGTTGAAATTGTGTGGTCGCAATAGTGCTGTAATATGAAAGCGCTACATAATGTGCTTGGATTTAAAATCAATCCGTCGACAATCAACCAATAGATTAAACTATCATTCAATTAGTTTATCAGCCGATCAWTGTCGCAATGAATCAATCAAATCAATCTATACATCAATCAAAGAACAAATCAAATCGTCAATAATCAATAAATTAACAAATCTATCAATTATAATCGAACACTAAGGGACGGGCCATTAGATGTTTTAGGGGGTGGTTGGGCAATAACCAAAAAAAAAATTCGAGCAAGGCTTAAATAGAGAAAAAAATTGTGCACAGCAAGAGTGCCAAAAAAAATTCGTGCAAGTGAATAATATCAGACTCACAGATGTGAAACACACTTTACACGAACAATGATCGACATTTTTTAAAGTTTATTTCATTTATATTTTGCATTTAACTGTTTTTCGTTTTCTGCTGTGTTTTTAGTGACAGACATGATGATTATTGGCCATTTTGGTGGGCTATGGCGCATGCATTTTCATCAAAAGTCGGCCATTTTTTGGCCATTTTGGAGGAGTATAGCCCCTACATTTTCATTAAAAATCGGTCATTTTTTGCCATTTTGGAGGGGTATAGCCCGTGCATATTTTCATCAAAAGTTGGTCATTTTTGGCTGTTTTGGAGGGCTATACTAGCACATGCATTTTCCGACATATTTCATCGACATATAATGTGTTAAAGACAATAATTTGAAATCAGATTAATGAAATAGTTCAACATTAACCTATAAATTCTGCAGAGAAAAACATTTAAAAAGGTAATATATTAAATGTTTTGAAACAAAAAAAATTCCTGCAAGCAAGTCATGTGTAAAAAAAATTGGAGCACACCCAAAATTGCATCCCCCCCTCAAAAATCTAATGGTCCGTCCCTAAATCCAACAATTGCCACTTCCAAAAAAGCAATCGAGCACTCAGTCAACAAGGTGTCCACTAAGTGAGGTCCAAAAGCAAAATTAGTCTTACACGTTGGTGCCGTCAGCGTGTTTATAGCTACTTCTATACAGACCAGCAAGACCATCGGTTAAGAACGCCTCAAATGTCATTTTGATGACAATCTGACCAGGTTCCAAATTATCTTCCAACTGTATGACATAAAACTGGTTCTTTTTGAACCAGAAGTGCTTTACGATGCTTAACTCCTCTAAAAATAGAAAAACGTTTATATATTTGTAAGAGTTACATACCGAGAACGGAGGCAATCAGCCTAATACATCCCGAGGGCCGTAGGCCCGAGGGAAGTATAGGCTGATTGCCGACGTTCGAGGTATTTATCTGGCTTATTTCATACTTGAAGAAGTTTTCCAAGCACTGCATTAATATTTTCATTTTTAAATAGGCAAAGAAGCCGTTTTCATATGAATTAAAAACCAAACCCTCGATGAGAAAGATTACGAAATTTACAGTATTGAAAATTCCCAACGGGAATAATTTGCATAACCAATTTTCTCGTTAGTYCCATGAGACCAATGCTAACTATACACCTTTTGTAACAAGTCACTGAACAATGTTAAATAACTGTTTTATTCCATAACTGACATCGATTAGTCAGTTAGCATAACGTGTTAAGTATAGGATTTTCAAAGCTAAGGTTGTGGGTTCGAATCTACTTAGTGTCATTTGAATTTTTCTTTCTTTCTTTCAAGTTTAAAGTTTCAGACGGAAAATTTCTAAGTTGAACGTAGTAGTTAATTAATTAGGTATTCAAGGGCAATATACATTAGTATTCAAGGGCAATATACAGCCTTTTGCACAAATTATGAGACATTTTTATATATATAAATATACCTAACCAAATATCAAAAACACCCCAGAAATTATGGTATATCTCTATTATATTTTGTCATGATTGCCTAGCATCAGGTTGTTACAGACAAAATATCAGCGACGGTATCCCATAATTTCTTGGGTGTTTTTGATATTTGGTTAGGTATATTTATATATATAAAAAATTCTCATAATTTGTGCAAGAGGCTGTATATCAAATGGTGGCGATATCTAGATATATCCCTGAAACTTCGATATAAAGCACTTGAATACACAGCGAGCTGGGGAATAAGCGAGATACAACACTATGAATAACAAAGAAAACTGAATCAAGTATGAAATAATCATGATTTTTGTTCTATTCTCTAGCAAGTAGTTAAATTCCCTATAACATGATGTCTGATTCCATTGTACATCACTAAATACTGCACAAACAGATATTTGAAATCGGAACAGTCACTGGATCCTATGTACATATCCGAGACCCTAAAATAGCGGACAATTCACAAACTGATTRTTCTGTACTGATTAACCAGGTCCTTAATCACCGGTACCGCGCCATTATAATATTTACCCCAAAATCATCCCTTCCTCGTAAAAAAACTTATAGAACAGTTAGTGTTCACCAAGAAAACCGGAGAATTCTAAACCTTGCGGCTATATCTAAAGCCCTGTTAAACTTACTCATGTCACGAAGCTACACATCAATAGTTCGTTTTCAGTAAAAATGTCAATCAATTTTTTTCTTTTTATTTGGATAATACTCACTTTTGGCGGAGCCTTCTGCATATGTCGAAACCTTAGCTGACGTGACGTTCATCTTGTTCGAATGGACCAACACAAGATTCGTAGATGACGTCACATTGGCCATAATCGCTACATTGCCGTCAAAGCGATATTTTTCTAGGTCAATATCAAGTAACACGTCATAATGGACGGGAATGATGTTCTTTGGAAGACGAACATCCCACCAGGCCTCTGTTCCTGGCGTGGTAGGAACTGGTTTGGTTGGCGAGCTTCCAGTSGTTTTCCCTCCTTCCTTTCTATCATCTACTCCATCTGAAAAAAGAAAAAGATTACCGTAACAGCAATAATATGAAAGCCTTGCCGTACACTTATCCAATATCACGTTACGTTTATCCGGATGAATTTTCATACACCTAGTATACACTGGCAGGTTTCGCTGCAATAATAATTACAACTATTTTAATTCAGCGAAAAGACATCTATTCCTCTCTATCTAGCTTAAGTTAACATTCGTAAATAATAACATTTCTTCTTAAAAAATCAATTTCACAACTTAAGTGAATAAACAGGTAGTTTTTATCAACACCGACATTCGWTGTAAATATTAAAAACTCTTAAAAATACTGACTTTTCTTGACATAAAAATCCCAAAACGAAACRAAAAAAGGGTTTGGCCATTTGCGAAGTGAAGAAAATGATTATAAGAGATTGATTTGAGTTATTTTCCCTGAATTCGCTGATTTGTGATAATACAACTGTTATACCATACCTAACCAGGGTGCCTCGATCCATTGAGCAGATATAAAACTAACTGTATCCCAGCATATAACTAAAATATATATTAGACTTAAGGGGAAAACCGCCCACATTTCGCCTAAAATATAGTTACTGGCGAAATTATGATTGTCAGAGTTGCGCCGAAGAATGTAAATTTTTCTTCTCGTGAAATTCTCACTGAAATGATTGCCAATYCATCCGTTTCACCACGGCCCTAAAAGTAACAGGTGCCATGTTTTGTAATATTTCTATATTTGTGAAACAAGAGATCAAAAATATAAATCTGACTTGTGGTGGAAATATGACTGCGATTTCCAACTTTCCGCGATTTAATTCCTTTACGTTTTTTTAGTTTGTATTTTCGTCGTTACTTATCAAAACACTKAGTTAGAATAATTAAACGCGACAAAACTGTATTTTACGTGACTTTTATTAAGGGACGATCGTTTTCGTAATGCTTGTAAAATAATGCTCGTATAGTCCAGGATAAGTCAAAAAGCTTATTACTAGATAACCTTTCGCGTGTGAAGCAAATAGGCTGTAACGTCGCCACGGCTGGGTAAATTTCCATATTATTTTTAGCACGGCTCATTGGTTTACTGGTTTTGTGAGCTCAATTGATCGTTTTCAACCATTCCTATGAGATTCAAAAGATAAAAGACCTGCGTCCATGTTGGAGGAATGAACAATGGATACTAACGAGAAATCCTTTGTTGAAATTCCTCCAAGATGGCCGCTATGACGTAACCTGAAAACGAAGAATCGTCACCTTAATCCTAGCCTGAAGGTTTTACGTATTTTTTACACGTGCCYTGCTATGCGTGTAGTAAAATGCTGCTACTTTCTTGATTAGTTTTTTTCTCACTATGTCGAAAGTTTGGCTTCGGTACATGTTCGTAGCCAATCATATTTTGAATTATATATCCGGCAGCCAATCACATTACTTTGTATATTCCGAATGCTATAGACTACCCATAATCCCTTTCGCTCACATTCTCAACTCGTAGTGCACATTACTGTTTCATCCGCCATTTTGACGAGTATTGTCTCTACTAGCGAATATGCGTTAGATCATGAAAGTTTACGACCAAAATCTGGCACTTACAACTCGTCAGGGTGTTAGGATCAAGGTTATGATGAATTATGATGACGAGGAGATCTCAAATACAGAGATCGACMCGCTTACTACTCGCGTGAAGCAACGGCAACGGCCGTGAAAAACGAGCAGACAAGCCATGTCCAGTTATGATCGCAAACCCTTCTAGTTGTATATCAAGTGTATCATAGGTAATTTTATGCATTTCTCTATTTTCTCGCTTATTATTATGATTGAATATCAATAAAACTCTTTAGAAATGCTTATAAATTTTATGGCTGTTCAAACATCTGCAATGGTTATGTTGAGTTTAACTAACCAACTCATGCCTAGTTATATATCTGACCCTAAAATGATACTGCAGAATCGCAAAGGCGGATACTGCTGAAATTGTACGCAAAAATTACATATATAGCTATTTCAAAAAAGGTTGTCGGATAAAATGGCGAATGTCAATTGTCGAATGGCGATTGCACGACCGAAAGTAACCATGGGTTTTGCTAGTTGAAAGTCAATAACAACTGATTTGTACTGTAAGATTGTCTGTGCTAAACATTGGCTCCATTTAGTCTCCATTTCTATKCAAGGTGATTCCAATAAGTGAAATTTTGTTTATCAAAACAGTGTAACCATAGTCCCTTTCGGTCGGGCAATCTCCCTTCGACAATCGCCGTTCGCCRTTCTCCCCGACAACGTTTTTTGAAATAGCTGTATCTTGATAAGGCTCCAAGGATCAAATCATTTTATATTTGTATCATTGAAGGTTTTAAAAGGCCTCATTTACTAATTATTTTAACAACATCATGTACAACAAAGRGCACGTGTAAACCCTCTTATACAATGAAATGAGGTTCCCAACCTCACAGTGATTATATCTTAAACATCATTTCTTAAAAAAATGACTGTTAACGATGTTATAAATCAAACCGATTTTGGACGCCATTAACCAACAAAGATGCCCGACGACAAGGAAACTGTATCGATCCAACTGACCGAAGGAGTCCCTGTGTTTCTCTGGTGTCTCAGGGGATATCATAGTATTAGTAATAGGTTACACTTTAAACGCTTGCATTGACCTTTTCAGTGTGAATTCTATTTCATATTGAATAAAAATCAATTGTAACATGTCAAAACAATGCATATTTGTAGAACAACAAGCGAAGGCACAATAAAACGCATTTGTGCGTTTTCTATTTACACGCTTTAGTCACAAAATTTCATAGGCACGCAAAAACCTCTGGGACCAGGGTACGCTTCGAACAACTCGCATGCTCATCTAGTCTTTGCCAGTTTACTATACGTAGCACACTGCAGATCGCAAGACTCTATGTCGATACATAATATCCAAAGATATAGGAGAACTGAAACATTGGATAAACAATGACGTGTGGAAATGTTCCTTGGCGGTATAACACTAACAACATACCTTTCTGCTGCATTTCAAGCTTAGAATTTGCCTTTCCCAATAAGGCGGCAAGAATAATCACAATGATCACAAGTGCAAGAACAAAAAGGCCAAGAAAAATCAGCTTCTTTTTACTAACGAAGACCCCTGGCATCGAAGCGGCAATGGTAGTCAAACCTGCCATGTTACARCCACAAGAAAGCCGATATGGTGCTCAGTTGGTGTTAAAGAAAAACGAAGAAGATTTGAAATATTATACACTATCGCAACTTCATGCCCTGGTGGTAATCCGGAAGAAAAGTTACCAAAAACCAATTGGATGTCTCTGGAACAGTAACCTTTCAAGCGAGGCCTAGCGGGAGAAAATTCCTGTTGGAGTTACCGTTCACCTTTACATTTTTGCAACAGCAAACAATGTAGAATGCTATGAAATCATTATACAATCATTTAATAATGGTTGTAGGCTTTTAGGAATGTTTCAAATCCGATCAGAGTTCAAGATTATTTTTCGTATCAACGGAACTCTTATCTTATATGTTGTTGGATCTCTTCTCAAATTGATCTTATTCGGATTGTTTACGAAGACAAACGAGTGCAAAAAATCAAAAAATTGTGAAAAGTGAAAAAAATAGAAAATTCAAAATGAAAATATAGAAAAAATATACAGTCAACGTCGTTCCCAAACCTGTTCCATTTGCCTTTTGGGCAGGCAAAAACGTGCATGAGCCACCCAGAATTAGGGTTTTGCGATCATATGGAAACGAGGTTGAAGAAAAGAAGTCACGTTATTTTTCTCAAGTCAGCAAAGAAAATACAATACAGACAATGCCCAGAACGAAGAATCATGCGCACTATTTTCTTTTGGAAATTCTTTGTCTGTGGCTGAGATATATAATGATGGTCTCCAATGAGTGCTAAAATATACTTACAAAGAGACCCCCCGTGGGGTCTCAACCCCGTTTTGGATAGGTACGTGCCGCCAGCGGTCTAAATCCCTGGCCCTGTTTAAGACACTAAAGAGTGAAAATCCATACCCTGTTCAAGACAAATCGGAAAAATAAGGAATAGCTATCTACGCCGCAACCATCAAACTGCAATTATACTGACATCCATCAAAGACAATAAGAAGTTTTTGATAACACGTTAAACCTGGGACAGTGAAACGACTGAAACGGTATTTCTACTATTCCTACGGTGTTGATAATGTATAGTGCTTAAAACACGAGAGAGAGTGTTTTATCAGGTATAAAGAATAC